CTGCTCAGCCCTGTGTGGGATTTTTCATTCATTTGATTTTATTGTCATGAAAACAGCTGCCTGTTTTTCCCTCTGTACTTTTATGGTCCACTTTATAGCGAGAGATCGCTGATGGGATTCATGTTTATCAGAACTGATTTAAGGTCAGGAGACTGTGACCTGTTAAAGTGTTGATCTACAAGTGGTTGTCATGGTGACTTGGGTGCACCTTAAACTAGAACTCACTAATTAGAGCACTTTTCTGGATACTTTCGGACATATAATGCATATAAACACACTGATCACTTTATTAGAACCGCCGACCCTGTACTTCCTTGCACCGACTTGTATGTTCACTCACGAGACAATTTATTAGAAATACTTACCTTGTAGTTCTGCTCACTAATCGCATTATTAGAAACACCTACTTTGTATTTTCACTTACTGGCCACGTTATTAGAAACACCTACCTTGTACTTCCACGAACTGGCCACTTTATTAGAAATATTTTGCATTTTCACTCACTGGCCACTTTATTGGAAACACCTACATTCTACTTCCACTAACTGGCCACTTTGTTAGAAACACCCATCTTGCATGTTCACTAACTGGCCATTTTATTAGAAACACCAACCTTGAACTTCCACTCACTGGCCACTTTATTAGAAACACCCTTCTTGTACTTCCACTCACTGGCCAATTTATTAGAATCGCCTACCTTGTACTTCCACTATTTAGCCACTTTATTCGAAAAACTCTTCTTGTACTTCCACTAACTGGCCACCTAATAAACCATCTAATGTTTTATTTTCTTGTCCTCTGATATTAGCATTTTGATTAATTATTTCTTGAAACTTGTTTCATGAATTTGAAACACTTGCATCTGTTGAGTTTCAAAAAAGTTTTAACACACTTTATATCATGCAACCAAAGTGCAATTCAGTGTTATGTAGGTTTCAAGTTAAAAGACAGTTAGTAAAACTAATCCAGCTCCAGTAGGGCTTCACTGCGAACAGACCAGACCAGAGAGATGAAGGGATGAACATGTTCGTGTGTTTTCTTGATGAAGCGGCTCCTCCACACATTCGCTTCTTTCTCCTCTCCAAGTTCAAAACAATAGAGCACTCTGTAAACAGCGACGGAGGTCAGCCCGGGTTTGGGCACTAATTGGCATGGAATGTGTGACCGTCCCAACTGTCTTCTCCACCGCACTCATTTTTTTTCTCCCTCACACTTTCTCCTCTCTCTCACACACACATGCACACACCCACACATGGCTTTTTACATCTCAGGCAAACTCTCTGTAGACATAAATCAATTTCAGAATAATTTAATTGCGCACTTAATTAGCGCGTTGATTGTTTGGCGCTGGTGCAGGGCAATCAGATTTCAAGGGTGTCCAAGAGTGGACTAGAACACAGAAGAAGGAGAGAGAGAGAGAGAGAGAGAGAGAGAGAGAGAGAGAGAGATAGAGAGGGAGAGAGAGAGAGAGATAAAGAATGGTGTGTGTTGTGGGAATACAGCAGAGAATGCTGGGACTTCCCAGAACGAACTGAGCTGAGTTACGTAAAGACAGCCGCAGCAGGAAAACCATTTTCTCATGGATTCCTGCATGCATGCACTGCAGCTCCATGAGTGAAAGAGGAATAATGACAAAAAAGACAGAGCTCAGCAGCTACAGTACTGTGCAAAAGTCTGAGCCCCCCTTGTTTATTTAATTTCCAGTCACTAAGATTAGATATAAGAAGGAGGTAAAGTCAGAGAAAAACAAGAGTTTCCCAAACTGGGGTTGAACAAATGATTATAAGCTACAGAGAAAAGGTGACTCCTAACAACCACCTGGAAGACCTGATGGACACCAAAACTGTCTCCATCAGATAAACAGCACTTAAAGCTTTCATCTTTGAGAGAGAGGAGAAAATCAAGCTGTTTCAGATCTGAAAACATCCACAGGTGTTTCTGTCCATCCTTCCACTGTGAGAAGACAACCCAGCGCTATTGGTCTGAAAGGATGTGTAGCTGTCAAGAAGTCTCACTGACAAAAGGAGACAGACACGTCAAACAAAGAAGCTGAACAATGGACTGACCACCCCAGAGTCCAGACCTCAACATCACTCAATGTGTTTAGATTAGTTCAGAAAATGATCAACCAACTTATAAGACTGAACTTTGGAGGTGTGGAAAAAAAGTGAGTCTCCTTTCTTTTTTTCTGGTAATGAAAAATTAATAACTTGTACATAATGGCCATTTTGAGTGCAATTTAAATAAATGTAGGGTCTCTGATTTTTGCACAGTACTGTGTATGATCTAGATGGAGGATTCTACACTCACTGTCCATTTTATCAGCTCCACTGACCATATAGGAGCACTTTATAGTTCTACAGTTACAGACTATAATCCATCTGTTTCTCTGCATACTTTGTTAGCCCCCTTTTACACCCTTAATTTATTCAGTCTTTTGGTTAAATGAGACGACTGAGTTACAAAACAATAGAACGTTTAAATTTCTATTTGACTAAAAGTATCAAATTTAATAAATAATAATAATCAGATATGCTGTTAGATGTTCAAGCTTTAACTGTACCACTTTAGACTGATCAGTGCAAGTTCTGGGACATTTTCTCTCATCAAACTAAATTTAGTTATTAGACATAAATTAAATAAGACTTATTATTCAGTCACTACTATGAAAATAATATGTAAGCTATATTATGTAGTTTACAGTAGCCACATTTGCATGCAGCCTGATAGTCCGTTAATAATCCGAATAATAGCTCAATAGAATAGAATACGTCCATGTATACACCTCGATCAGAATAGATGAGTCAGATTGTGGCCATTCGGACTACAGCTTCTATCCGATTGAACAATCCTGAAAATAATCTGTTAAATAGAAGAATAATAGCCGTGTAAACACCTTTATCTGATTACATTCCCAATAGGGAAGTTTAATTATGTTCTGCGCATGTGCGTAGCGAAAGTTTTTAAATGTTCAACATAGTGGGAGCAATAACTGGTCTGCAGAGGAGACAAAGTTTATGCTTTGTGCTTTAAAAGACGGTGGTGGGACGGGCGTCCAGCTTATGTGCCTCAGAACACAACGTCTTCCTCTCGGCCTTCTTTAATAAGTAGATGTGAAGTATGTTTTCCTGAGTCTGACATCATTTTGAAGCAAATTTAAAACACAAGCACTGCTCACTGCTGCTCATCTCACTCTGACTGGACTCACTTGATGATGGTTGTCATAGTAACGTCCACACTAAATGGTTCTCTACGCATGCGCATCATTTTGGACTGGATTACTTGTAGTATGCATGTAAACAGAGATTTCTATCAGATTGTTGAGTAGAGTGAGATATAAACACCTCAGTCTTAATCTATAATCTGAATGTATTTAATCAGAATGGCAAAAAATCTTTGCATGTAAACACAGACACTGTGGAATATAATTGATCTCACCTTGCTCCGCCCACAAATGTGTTCTTGAAAAAGTTTGGCCAAATTTACAGGACATCCCTAGAAATCCCATTAATGATAATGAGAAAGCTAATGAGAAAGCTAATTGTAGTGCAGTTCAAGTCAGTGTTTGTCAAAATACCCACACTGAGAGATTCATTTCAGATCTTGTTTTGAATGTGTGTGAAAGGTCACACTGTTAGGACAGATTGAAAGGAGGCTAATTTGTTATATTTTCCAGCCAGACTATTAGCTACAGCAGCTTAGCTCAGCTCAGTGCAGAACGACTTTTTGGACATTACAGACTCACTTGACCCACAGTTCCTCGTTAGGCTGAACGCAAATGTTTTTTAATACTTGTCCAAACTAGCAACAGTTGCTATGGAAGAATGCATCTGTGGGTGAGGTGTTAGGGTTTAAGGACTAACCAGTGAACATATCAGGGCCAGACACACAAGAAGAAACCTAGTCTAAACTAATGCTATCAAAAAGAACTTTTCATTAAAATAGGCTAGAACTGGCCCTAAGAATGTAACATGTAAAATGTCATAATGTGGATCTTCATCACTACCATAAAATGAACATAGTGCAAAGCACTACACTTACTATTCACTTTATTAGAAAACCTACTTTGTGCTTTCACTCACTGGCCACTTTATTAGAAACACCTACCTTGTACTTCCACTCACTGGCCACTTTATTAGAAACACCTACCTTGTACTTCCACTCACATTAGAAACTTTGTGCTTATATTACTGATGTCTGATTTACAAAACAATAAAACATTTAAATATCTGTGCGACTAAAAGTATGAACATTAATTTTTATTGTTATTAATATTATTAATACCACTACTACTACTACTACTAATAATAATAATAATAACAATAATGATAATAATAATAATAATAATCAGATATGTGCTGTCACATTCTCAAGCTATAACTGTACAACTTTAGACCAGTAGAGTACTTCTGTGGCATTTTCACTCATCATATTAAACTTTATAAGACATGAATTAAGGAAGACTTATTATTCAGTGACTGCTATGAAAACAATATGTTATCTATATTATGTAGTTATGACAGTGATGTATATAAAAATTGATGTGTCCTTGTACTTCCACGAACTGGCCACTTTATTGGAAACACCTACCTTGTACTCCCACTCACTGGCCACTTTATTAGAAACACGTACCTTGTACTTCCACTCTTTGGCCACTTTATTAGAAACACCTACCTTGTCCTTCCAAGCACGGTCACCGCCAAAAAAAATCCAGCCACCCAGTGTCACTGTGGTCAGAAACTGAGCATTGATGAAGTAATAGAGGATCACATAAACATAAACTGTGCATCAGCAGACGAGCCGTAGTCTGACTGCACAAACGAGAGGTTTCTAATAAAGTGGCCAGTGTAACTGATGGTAGAACACTGAACGCATATTGAATCACAATATTAAATACGGTACATTAAGGTGTTTCTCAGAAGCGCCTGTTGAATTTGTGGGATCTGATTCTGTTGCCACGCCCACCCAACCAACAAAAACATCTCCAGCACAAAGAAACATTTGCATAATCCTTTTTATTCACTATTATTGTTCTTTTATACTTCTTTTTAAATATTTCTCTGTTTGTTTATCAGTGGACATCATGTAAAGTCAAGCCTGAAGCCCTTAGCTTGGGATGGTCGCACATCATCATCATCATCATCATAGCTGAAGAAGAAGAAGAAGAGGAAGAGGAGGAGATGAAGAAAGGGGTCGGGGCCTTTTCTTTCTGCCGATCACCCCTATGTCTTTAAGTGAATTATTTTTTTTATCTTTTCTCACAAAGAATGCACCTCACATACTATTTACACATCATACCGAGAACAATGTCCACTCAAAATGACGGCAGAATAAAAAGGAAAGATTTCTTTTGCTCATATGAGTTTTTTTTCCAAGACTTTTTTGCTTGTATAAGTTTTATTTGTTTGCTTGTTTTTGTTTGTTTTTTTGTTGTTGCACCAGCATATTCTTGGCTAATATTCACATGCTGGGTTGGGGTTTGAGCTGGATATGAATTACTGTCTCTGCTTACAGTCTTCTCTTCAATAAATACCTCTCAGAAAACAGCTGTACAAGTGTACACAGTGTTTGACTTTGTCTTATAGATACTTTTATATATATATTTTTATATATATATGTATTTGGGAGTATATTAGTAAAATCAAAAAAATATAAGAAAACAAATTAAACTATAATTTATCAAAATTTGAAAGTAACAAAATCATGCATATTTGAATGTATCAGCATTTTCTTGTCTCTTTTTTGTTTCTCAGTAAAAACCAAAAAGGTTTTTTTTTGGATGGTCTGTTCTTTATTTACATTTATATTGGCACTATTTACTTTTCTGGAAACTGGAATGATCTTTACGAAACACTTAATGCTCAATTCATCGTAACACTCTTGGAAAATCAGGTGTTTGCTCTAAAACTCAGGATCAAAGTACATCCGTACATCCTATTTTAGACAAAACAAACCAAAAAAGCCAAAAAAAAAACAGAAAATAGAGCATTTTTTCTATGGGTCAGACAGCCATAAATAAAATACAGTGTAAAAAGCCAAATTTCAGCATTAGACGGTGGCAGTTTTCACCTTTGGAAGGGAACCGAAGTGATATCAGTCAGTTTTTTTCTGATAGGCTCCCCAATTACGTACTTTATCTCGCTTAGAGGAAAATATTCTAAAAACCGTCCCTGTTTTTCAATCCTGTCCCAAAGCAGCATTGCTCAAATCAGACACCCTTGCAGGATGGGACTGGACTCAAAGGGGATGGTGCAGACTTCTTGTTGTATTTCAGGGGTTTGTTTGGCAGGCCTGAAAGGAAGCTGTCATAAGCTACCAGTGTTTCCATGTCAACTGTGTGCTTGACAATCAATTCCAATTGCCAGTTGAGTCTTTTTGTGAGTGAGCAAAAAAACATAAGGGTGTGTATGTGTGTATATTCTCATAAATTCAGTGCAAACACATTTATACCAACGCAGTAGTCCTCAAACATGAACTTTCCAATGTTTCAGCAAGGCGGCAGGATCTGCTTCCTCGCCCTTGGCCATCTTATATTGGTTCCTGCTATAGCTAGCAAGCGATAGAGGCCAAATACAATGGACGGACCACCAGACATCGATGTTTGTGAAGGGTTTCGCTGATGATCCATTTGCCTCCAAAAGCCCCAAACGTAGACCACCCCCCTACCCCTCCCCTGGTCCTAGCACAGACCAATGTACTTGAGATTATTCTGGATAATCACGTCCGTGACGGCATCGAACACAAACTGGATGTTGCTGGTGTCGGTGGCACAGGTGAAGTGCGAGTAGATCTCTTTCGTCTCCTTGTTGCGGTTCAGGTCCTCGAACTGCCGCTGGACATAGACGGCCGCCTCCTCGTAGGTGTTCTGGCCCTTATAGTCGGCAAAGCAGACGGTCAGCGGGATGCGCTTGATCTTCTCGGCCAGAAGATCCTTCTTGTTGAGGAAGAGGATGAGCGAGGTGTTGGTGAACCAGTTGTTGTTGCAGATGGAGTCAAACAGACGCAAGCTCTCTGCCATACGACTCTGGAGAGAGAGAGAGAGAGAGAGAGAGAGAGAGAGAGAGAGAGGAAGAGAGAGAGGGAGAGAGAGAAGTTATAGCTATATTTATAGTATTTTTGAGATGCATGACAATATTTAGTTTTTCTCAGGTTTGAAAAGTTGGAATATATCAAATATAGCAGCAAATACCACACTGAAAAGCACAATGTTTTGTTTACATGATGTTTTATATATTATACATCATTACATTACGTAGGCTCAGTAATGATCTCTTGAACGTGCAACACAGTCAGGATTCAAGCCTGCACAACCAAAACACAGCTATGCCCAAATAAATCTCTTTTTATTGAAATACAAGTGCTCTGTGTTCTATAGTCTTTAATAAAGCATTAAGCTGCTTCATGTTGTGCCTAACAACATTGCTTACTTCTGATAAAATCATTGCAAAGCATGGTCTGTTGTGGCTTACTGCTTTTATAAAATGCTGGCAACTTCCAAAAAAAAAAAATCACAAATATTTAATAAATAACATAAATGAATTCACCACTTAATAAGGACAACACATTTATTGTACATTGCATTAATTTTTGTCATATAACTGTGAACATATCATTCTTTTCTTATCAAATTACCACTGCAGTAATAATGCGATTTTCTAGCTAGAGCATCTATTGGATTTCCTGTGTTATGCTACCATCAAGCTAACAGTTCCACACATTCAACAGCATTTAATACTACTTATAGCAGATCTATAAAAAAAAATCTAAAGTAAAATTCTTTATTTTGGATTTTGGATTTTGGATTTATACAGCGAATCCGTCAGTAAATACTTCAATTCAAAGCCAAATGCTGAATGATAATAGAGGACCCTGCTGAAAACAGCACAGATTAGCATGCGTGTCATCCTGGTCTAAGCTGGTCTATGCTGGTCTAGTGCTGGTCTGGTGCTGGTTTAGCTGGTCACCCATCATAGTCATGTTAGTTGACCAGCATACCAGCATCCAAAACACAGCATTAGCTGGTTTTGCTGGTGACCAATGTGGGTCGATGCTGTTTTTCTAACAAGGGAGCCTGCTTGCTACCCTGTTAGCAATCTTCATCAGCCTAGTTTTAGTTGTTAAGAAAATGTAAAATTTAAACAGCAGTACAGACAAAACAGTATGTTCAGAAAAGCTTACTGTGACATATTTTACTATGCTAATGGTATATCATCCACCACTAAGAATAGCTACAGGGATTTGGGAGTCCTGCAGATTTCTGACTGAAAAAAACAGAATTATATGCTGTTCTTTGTCAATGCAATGTCAACTGTAATTCGTCCGTATGCCTACCATAGCCTCTTGTTTGTTTTTTGAACATGGGCTCCCTTTGATGGAGGCACTTGGTGCATGGTGCTAATTAGTCTGGTATAAGCTCCACTGCACAGACAGCAAACATGTCTTGGCTGATGGATACATTTAGACTAAGAGGGGAGACGTGTGTAAATTTGGGCACATTATCAATTCCTGGCACAGTGTAAACAGTAAGTACCCGCCGCTCCTCCTGCCCTGCCTGTGCCAGCTAGTGGCGCAGTGTTATTTAAACTGCAGACTGAAGAGGCTCAGACAGAAACCTGCTCTTCAGCTCCCTCCCTCCTTCAACAGCATGCGTCAAACTCACACTTTATCCTTTAAACTTCATCTCAGCTCACTGACTCCTTAATGACTGCACATCTCAGGAAAATGCGTTTTTCATAGATCCATTAAAGCAGCCAGTGGTCAGTAGGATTGGCTAATTGGAATTGCTATTGTTTTTTTGCTTCTCAATTGATCTGGCATGCTGAGGTCAGTTCAGGTCTTTCAGTGTTAGGTCAACTTAGGACACATTATATATTCCTGTTTAACAAGGAAATATTCAATATGGGCACATCAACAGTGAAACAGTTGATTTATTTTAAATGCATTCCTCTAAATTCGGAACCATGTCACTTAAAGAAATATTACATTTTAAATAGGTCAGCAGCGTCATTACACTCTGGTGTAATGGTGGTTGTTTGACCACTAGTTTTCACATTAATATGTGTATGGTAGGCTTGGGACAGTAAATGATATTATCAAATGTAGCAATAAATTAAGTGAAGATATTATGCAAATGATTCTTTCACTCTCTTTTTAATACAACATGATTTTTATTTACTGATTGATTACTGCTTCATTTAACTGTTACCTTTATATTATCAAACTAATCTGTGGTTAGTTTAAAAACATATTCAATACAAAGGATTGTGCTTAATTATAGACTCATACAGAACATCACCAGCCAATTAACTACCATTAATTCATACATACATTAAATGCCACTTGGAAAGATTATAACAGATTTTCAGTCTGCAGTATAGAAAGAACACTGGGGAATATGAAATGAAACAAAGAAACTCTGGTACATTGAGTCTGATCTGAAGAAGAGCACTAGTTAAGCTGTATTTTGGTTTCCAGACAAAATGAACACAGGGAACCTCTGGATGTTCACGGTGTTACACGCCATCTGTGCAGAACATAGTTTTCATTATTTAGGCTAAAAATTTTGACAGAAAAAAAAATCTACAGATTATCCATATGGAACAAATATATTGCAGGTGTCAGAAGAAAACCTCGTATCTCCAAAATGTTAACTTACAGGAAAAGCCAAAAACCTGCTTTACTTTTATTGTAAGTCAATGGAACCAGAGTTTTTTCCAAGTCATTTTGGGCCGTTTCTTTTAGTCCAGTCATCATGAAATTTACACACAATGTAAAGAGTAAAAGGTATTTTCAAATTATGTCACAAACTCAAAAACATCAAAAATGGAGATACGAGTTTTCTTCCAACAGCACCAACATGTTTCAAATGTATTTATCAAATATATTTTTGCAATGATTGAAAATGGCCAAAAATAGATATATGTATTTAAAAAATGTATTATAATGTATTTTATGTATATATACATATATATATACATATATACACATACACATACTGACTTCTGTGTTTTGCATCGTACTTTACATTAACCATGTATGTATGCAGTAAGACAGTCACACACAGTGTATTTCAAATAACAAGATATCAAATCATAACTGCATTTTCACAGAGTATCAATACCTACAACACTCGCTTTTGTCATGTTTAAGGTTCATTTGCTAATATTTAAAATTAAGATACAGGAATACAAATTCGTTTCAAAAACAGTAAAGTGCATAAGACAGGATTTTGGCTATTTTCATACATTTTCAAAAGTATTTGATAAATATGTTTACTTACATTTATTTTTGTACAGTACATTTCTATGTGTAATATACAAACATACATACAAATTTAAAATTAATGTATTTTAAAAGATATTTGGTTAATATGCCAAAATATTCTGAAATACATTTTAGTGTTTGGAACGTATTTTGGTGTTCCATATGGGTAAATAGGCACACAATGAAACGTCAAAATCGAAGACTTTACAATTCATTTTAATGATAAAAATGCATATTACATGCCACCTTAAATGGTGGCACCTGTGCACACCTAAAAGTAAATGCTGCACCATTTAAGAAGGAAAGGAAAATCTGAATCAGAAGCTGGCAGATACGAAGCGCTCCTGTGCCAGACTTTACAGACATGTTCAAACAGTGAGTGGCAGGAGATCAGCAGGAAAATATCAGCCATGTGGAAAAATTTCAGGGTTTCATGAGAAAATGTATCATATCTGTTAAAGTGGAGTATCACTATAACTATTATTAATATTTGTTTTATGTAAACTGTTTTTATTTATCATCAGTTATTTAGCTTTTTGGTTGTGATACTGGTTTACATTATTATCCAAGCTCAGCATGGTAAATAATAGTATGTGATAAACAGGCATGCCAATAAGGAAAAATTATTTAGATTAAATACATTGCATTTTATATTGTATATTAAACTTTACCTTGATTTATCATTTGTTTTTATTATCTTACTCCTTTCTCAATCCGTTGAATAACCAAATGACAAAAAACTGTGTATGGCTTGTTAGAAATAAACATAATTCATTCTGTAAACTGTGAACAAATAATAATTAATAATGATCCGAGGTAACCAATTGTTTTGTTATGGCAACACGCAACTTGTTGAAAGGCCCTCTGACTATTATGACTGATGAGAGTGTTTTTCAACAGCATTAGTAGTAGTTTGAATGGCCTTAAATATTATGGTACTCGTATACTGCGCAAAAAGTCAGAGAGACCACCCTTTACGCATTTCATTTCCTGTCAAAACAGCCATTAAGTACAAATTAGTCATGTTTCAGTATCAGAAAAAAGCAGGAAACATATTTAACTGGAAAATACACAAAAGCCTCCTGTATAATATTTTTTATATTTTATTTTTCTATTTTTTTAATAATTTGTCCACTCTTTGCTAGTGCGCCGCCACTTCAACTCCATCCTGATCTTAAAACCAATCAGTCACAGCTGTGTGATGAAGGTCAGTTCAGGTCATTCATTATCATGTAAAAACATTAAGAAACATTACATTTCCTAATTAAGGGTATTATTCAGTATAGGTACATCAAGAGCAGTACATAAATACTCAACACATCAGAGATGCATTGAACATTTCTTCCTTGTGTGCTAAAATGGCTTTAGGAGATATTCACATTATATATATATATATATATATATATATATTTATATATATATATATAGTTGTGTCCTTTTAGAGGGAAACAGTAAAAAAAAAAGAAAATTTGCCCTAGATTACTGAAACTGGTCAGCTGAGATGTGGAATCCAAATTAGTAATCAGTATTACTTGGATGGTGTGATGCAGAATGTGCAACCAACTTCTTAGGCCCAATCCCATTTCACCCCTCACCCCTACCACTTAGCCCTTAGCCCTCCATTTTGTGCGTTCACATCTAGGGGTAGGGTGTCCCGATTTTGGTTGAGATAGAGGGATAGGGTGAAGTGTTAGGGCTACATGGCCCTCCAAACGGAGGTTTTTCAGAGGCACACTCTAAACAGAGTGTTAAAGGTAACTA